AATGAGGATTCACATACACATCATTTGTCCACATGTATGTATGAGGATTCACATACACACCATTTGTCCACATGTATGTATGAGGATTCACATACACACCATTTGTCCACATGTATGTATAGGGGGAGTATAACAGATGTAATAGGCAGTCGGCTTGGCCGTGTTGGCGTGTGTCAGTGGTTGTACCGCGAGTGTGGTGTGCGTGCGTCTATATGCACAACGGTGTTGGTTGGTACTGTGAGACTACGCAAAGTAAAACAAACACTCTCAGTCGAGACCCTCTCAGGCGCTGAAACGATTGCATCCTCAGCCTGGATCTACAAGGTGCAGACCCAGATCTACAAGGTTCAGACTCAAAAGGGGGGTAAAATACGCCAGCCAATAGGAAACATGTCAATAAATAGCCACATACCTACCCACACATAGAAACGAAGCACTGCATGGTACCCACCTGTGCGGCTGGTAGCGTCCTGCGTTGGTCTGACTTGAATCTCAGCTGCAGGGCGACGACCAATAGAATCTCGCGTTTGTACGGCGCCTCGGCCTCAAACATCGCAAACATCAGCGACAGACCGTTGCTGAACTGCTGGGGACCTTCATCGTTGAAGTATTTGAAGATCTCTGCCGCCCACACATCCTTGTTCTTGGAATAAGACCCCTGGAGGTGTTGTGTAGGTGTAGGTACAGGTGGTAGTAGGTACGTGTTGAGGTACAGGTGCAAGTATTATTATGTACGTGTTCAGGTGAAGGTATAAGTAATCGTATGTGGATGTTTTGGTATAGGTATTGGCATTAGTATGTAGATGTTTAGGTACAGGTAAAAGTATTATTATGTACATGTTCAAGTGAAGGTATAAATATTCGTTTGTGGATGTTCCGGTATAGGTATAGGCACTAGTATGCAGATGTTTAGGTACAGGTACAAGTACTAGTATGTACATATTCAGTTGAAGGTACAAGTATTAGTATGTGCATGTTTAGGCATAGGTATAGGCACATATATTGGTACATACATGTTATATATAAACATAGCTATATATTTATTAGTACTAACACCGTGTATATAATGTGGGTAGGATATAAGCACATATCTCCTCATTGTTACATATGTTAGAAATTTTAGAGAAATCCAAGCTACAACGACGATAAAAATGTACAGACAAGGCGAACCCAAATTTTCTTATTAAGCAAATGGTATACTTGGGCGCCTCAAATGATGGCTTGACCTACAATTTCATACTCATTGCATCACTTATGTATAATCTTTATATAACTCATATAATCTATATATAAGTCGTATATAATTTATATATAGCTCGTATATAATCTATATATAACTCGTATATGATTTATATATAGGTCGTATATAATTTATATATAAATCGAATATAAACTATATATAACTCATATACAATCTATGTACAACTCATATACAATCTATGTACAACCCATATGTAATCTATGTACAACTCCTACGTAATCAATATATAACTCGTATGCAATTTATGCAAACTCATAGAATCTATGTGCAACTCATATACATTCTATATATAAACTATGTGCAACTCATATTTAGTCCATATTTATCCTATGTACAACCACTTTAGTGACCGATGCAATAGCATATGCGCACAACACCACAAATCCACACCTGTAAGTCTTGACACAGAGCATGACCGCCTTTCCAAAAGTTCTTGATACCAAGCATTCCACACAGCAGACAACCAGCAGATTCGTATACACCATTGCCACTCATACATATACGTAGAAGAAACAACACGCACACTCTCCTGGTGTAATAGATAGATGCCTAAGACACACACAAACGCAAAGCGCTGGCCAAATCCAGGATGGAATACGTACCACACTAGCCTTGCATAAAGAATGATCACCTTTTGACAAGTTACTGTATCCTCTCTGCTCACACCGCGAAAGCTGCTCATTCACGTACATCTTCGGGAACATACACATGGTATGCAGACACACACACACACACGGACACAGTCACAGATACAGACACAGACACAGACACAGACACAGACAGAGACAGAGACAGAGACAGAGACAGAGACAGAAACAAAAACAGAGACAGAAACAAAAACAGAGACAGAGACAGAGACCACACACAACACACACACACACACACACACACACGGAAGCAAGTATTCCCACAGCTACTTCACGTAGCATGCATACCTTGGCATAGAGCATGATGACCTTTGACAAGTTACTGTAGCCTCTCTTCTCAAACTGCAGACTCAGCAGATTGGTGAGTTGCAGTGCACGATTCTCTGGACACTCAAACTGAGCGATTAACATCGGCATGAGCGACACCAGCGTGAAAGGTAACGCAAACCCTGAGACAAAGATATGGGGTAAGGTAAGTATATTACTAGAGGGCACTGAGATGTCTTAAGGTACATACAATCACACACACACACACACACACAGACACAGACACAGACACAGACTCACATATATATATATATATGTATACACGCACACACACACACACACACACACACATATATATATATATACAAATTAACACACACATTAAATACATACATACACAAATATATATATACAAACATACATACATACATAAATACATAAATACATACAGTTCATACATACGCACATATATGCATATATATATATATATATATATAATATATATATGGATATATATATATATATGTATAATATACATAAATATATACTGGGGAATATGCATACACAAGTCATTTAGCTACGCACACATATATGCGTGAATATACATGGGTGCACGTTGATATCAATTCACATACTTATTTATATACACAGATGGTAATACATTTAAATATATATCAATATATGTATATGAATGCACATACACTCAAACTTGCACACATAGTAGATAAATGTATGTTGTGTATATAGGTGAACTTACCTGAGGGGTCTAGGATGGAGTCGGGTGCAATGGGCAGGAGTGGGAGGAGCGTCACCATGATGTCAAAGGCTGTGGTGTAGTTCTTTGCTGACGTCAAACCCTTTAAGACCTACAGGAGAACAATAGACCGCCAGTCAGGTATTGATACGTATGCGTACACTAATAGTGGGTATCCTTGTGCATCCAGGTATATGGTTATGTGTAAATCAAATTTTCGCAGGCGTGTAAGT